AAAAAACAACTATGAAAAATGTTTGCAAAAACAAAATAACTTAAATTCACAAAAAGAGGAAAAAAAATAAAAAAAAGTATTGTTCTTATTCACAATATTGTCTTTGTTTCAACGAAAAAATTATAATATTTACAAAAATTAAATTTAGAACATTTTAACAAATAAAGATCCTATATATAATCAGATTCTAACTACGATGTAGTCTTGTTTGTTATTGATCCGACATTTTTCTTCAATTCGTCACAGTTGTTTGAAATGTATTTTATTATCTAGCATTTTTTTAACGATGAATTGTTGCAAAAAAATGCTGGCGCATCCAATCATTTTTATTCGGAAAGAAATACTTATATTTAAATATTATGCAAAAAATTGAAAAAAAGTTGGACTACACAGAACTACAGCTCCACATAATACTTGCAACGCTCATCATTTGTCCTTGTTTAACATTTGATAAACAACAAGGACGAAAGGATTCCACGAGTGTTGTGAATCTTATAGCGTTTTCTCTTGGCTGCGCTATCGCCCACTAGTTCAACACTCGGACAGTGTACCATGTTTCCATGGCTGGTGGTAAGCAAACTCATTCGGTATTTACGTAGCTACGGTATAGTGCAATTTTATGCACGAAGTAGGATTTTGCACCATCTCAAAGAAACGGCATAGAGCCAGTGTGACATTTAAAATTTGAAAATGGAAGTCAAGCGGGAATAGAGTTTTAGCGTAATAATGGATGCATCCAGAAGCACGACCACTCACTGAGAGCTCAATGAGCTCTTTTACTTGTTTGGTCTACATTTTTATATTTAATAGAATATGCCAATTAAATGCAAAAGCTCACTGAGCGCTCAGTGAGCGATCGTGCTTCTGGATGCACCTGATGATGTAATGTACACCACTCTAGTGTAGTTGAGTGTAGCGCTTACACGCAACTGGTGCGGTGCGAGGCTGCACCCAGTGCACCAAGAGAAAACGCTATTAAATGGAACGCAGCCTACATATGTTCACTGCGTGTTTACTTATGTCCGCCAGAAACTTATAGAGCTGCTACATTTACAGTGCCACTGCAGAGTGAATAAAATAGCACATCTTTCTCTCTCACACAATTTTGAAGAAAAATGCTGGACATTGTTGTGGTTAAACTCCAATTACAAAGTCTTTATTTATAAGTACATTTTCATATGTAACAAAACTTGAGAGTTATCTGATATGATTGATGTAGACATAGATATGTTTTATATTATACCACCAAATGGCGAGATACCGCTTTATATTATGGAAGATTGTATTTTGACTAGATTAGATTATTTGAGGCTCCTGAGTGAAGGATCTGCTAATAAATTTGATGGGAAATTTGAATACTTATTAGAAAATTCTACTTACGATAAAATTGGACATTTTATATTAAGGTAAGTATACGTTAGAATTTTTTAGACAATCTTTAATAATTAAATATAATTTAAATATTTAAAGAATAAGTAATATACAATTTTAAAAAGTTCATGTGTCTATAAAGTAAAGGAATTAAGAACAGATAGAACTATAAAAATCTGTATTCCTAATTAATTAAACATTGCTGTTTATTGTTTTAGGTTATTAGCTTCTACATCGTCAGATTTATGTATATATTGGATTGGCAAAGAATCATTATTATTTAAACATAGATTAGATAGTCTATCACCTAGACGATTACATAAATTATTAAAGCAAATTACATGGAAACTGCAAATATTTAAAGATAAGAAAAGTACAATTGACACAACTCTCATTGAGTTATGCAAATTTTATATGCAGCCCTTAGTTTTTAAACATCTGACATCAAATTGTCATGATTGCGATAATTTTCGATATGAAAGTATGAATACAGAATATTATTTGTATATAAAAAATTTTTAAATAAAATTAATTTCTTATTTCATATTTTTCAGTGAGATTTGAAATAATACCAGATTTGGTGAAAGAAAGAGAACTAGCCCTTAATAATGGAAATGTCATCACACATTGTTCAGATTGGAAAAAAGTACTTCGATTATTATTTAGTAATTATGTAATCAATGAAATAAATATTATGAAGAGACAGTCGCTATATATCATAAAACATGATCTTAGATTCCACATTTTGAATCAGAAAATTCAATCCTATCTCTTCAAGGAAGGTGTTCCTCATGGAAAAGTAACTATTGATAACATAGAAGCAGAAGCACAGAAATTTCCATTATGTATGCAACATTTGCATTCTTTATTAAGAAGAAGACATCGTCTCAGTCACTATGCGCGTTTATACTACAGTCTTTTTCTGAAAGAAATAGGAATGACCCTAGAAGATTCAATTGTATTTTGGAAGCAAGAATATTCCAAGCCACACACTTGTACTTCAGTATGTTCACACAATTGGCAATCCAATGAGAAAAAATTCATATATAGCATCAGGCACATGTATGGTTTAGAAGGATCGCGAAGAACTTACAAGACGCCTGACTGCAATCTCATTTGTGTAAGTAAAAATATCACGTACATACACATACAAAAAGTCTTTTCTATAATCTACATAAACTTTATTATTAGAATTACTTTTTCAAACATCGAAACTATTGTAGGTTGGTATTAGTGGAGCAACATACGAGGGTGGTTGTCCTTTCAAGGATTTTGATACGAGTGTACTCAGAAATCTTTTACAAGCTTCAGTAAATGAAGATGAAATTGAAAAATTTATAAATAATGTATCTACTAAAGATCCAGAAGTTCTCTGCACTACATTTCTGAAACTCATACGCAAAGATGACATTAACGACGTCGTTATCAAAAGTCCAGTACAATACTACCAAAGAATGATTAATTAATATCAATTCTATCTTCGTAATGAAAACTGTATACAATTAATGCCTTCATTCCTGCCAGTATTTTTTATTGTTTAATTCAAGATCTTGCTAATATATTTTGTAGATATTACAAAACAATTATAAAGATAAATAAATTATATTAATGTTTAAACAATTATTTATTACTAAATGATTGCAGAGCATCTTCTATAACACAACGACTTACACCATCTTCAACTAATACAGCATGTACTCCAAGTTTACCAACTTCCATGATATTTCTAGCCTCATCGTCAAAAAATATCATATCTTTATAATCAATGTGAGAACTCTTTTGAATGCTGAAAGCAACAAATTATAGTTTTAAACTATTATACCACCTGATCCTTTATGAATATTACACAAGACTTACTTAGAAAAATGTGTGACTTTGCTACCAGGAAATATTTCAACATATTTGAAATATTTCTTCCAGCCAAATGCATCTATTAATTGTTTAGCCCCCTTTATCTCTGCTGTACGTGACGCTATACCCAGTTCATATCCTTCTCCTGATAACTGTTTTAATACATCAGGAACATCAGAATAGTGGTCTACGTCACGGCCACGTGCATCTATTACTTTATTTCGTGTTCTAAAAGTTTTCTTCTTTAAGTTGGACAAAAATTCTTAAAATACTACATAATCTTATCAGTTTTTAATGCACGCACCCTTTCTTAAATGGTGGTTCTACAAAACTGTCTACCCAAAACGGCCACAAGGTATAATCTGAAATATAATATCCTTTCCATTTCTCCAAAAATCACATTCTAAATAATTTTTATTGCAACATAAAGAAAAAAAATAATTATTATAAATTTGTCATACATCTAAATTGTAATGTTCATGATTATACCTAAATCAAAGACGATAACTTTCGGTTTTTTCTCCATTTATTCCCTGATTGAATTACAAGAAGACGGACAAAATTAATCAATGACAAAGCACTGTCACTAATATAAGTAATTTTCTTAGATAAATAATAAAACTGCAAATCCGTCACACAGTGAGTGTGAAAACCTAACTTGACTTAATTCCTTCCATTACCATCTGCATCTATTTCGACTAGTAAATTCTTACTCTAACCGCTAGAGGGTACTAGAAACAATTTTTTCAAACGAATATCGTAGAATTAATAATCACATTTTAGAGGAAACAATCATGATTTAATTGCTATTGTTAATGTTAGTATCAGCTAATTATTATTTTGATTAACTCGTTTGCATGATTAGTTTGGGGAAAATTCATCACAAAAAAAACTTATACGATTGCACGGAGTTCATCTGACGGATCTGTCACGCATCCACGCTCGATCTATACAAAATATACGTATTTACATATAATAACTATTCAGAAGTTTTAATTGTATCCATACGATATCATTACAAGTAATAACTTAAAATTGGATATGATGAGAAGTGACGCTACATTCACGTGGAAGTCACCCGAGTATCTCTCATTTAATAAAACAAAAAGAGTACAATCAATACATTTAATCATATATTAATGATATATACGTACTCGACGATAATTCCATGGTAATTGTGCTTCGCCACTGCAAGAAAATATCCAAAAGAGGCACAATTATTATACACACACACACAACAAAAGGACTACAAGCGACGTCGCCCACATCGACCGCACTGATACTATATTCGTTTGTCGCGTTGCATACTCCAACATGCTCCAACATGCTCCAACATGCTTCTGCTTTAGTTTATACTCACTCCGAGCGCGTTGGAGCATGTTGGAATATGTTGGAGCACGCGACGTGAAGAAACGAAGCATGACATAATAGCTCCCGCAAACTGAACTCGATAACTGACGGAAACGACACTTGCCACACAGTAGAAGTTGTAACCAATCATTCTATTGGCTACCGTTTAAAAAACGCGGGAACGCTTGCCGCGCGGCGGAAATTGTCGCACTGACTAAACATTTTATCCTAGTAAACGAGAATGGATTAAAATGGATTGACATTTTTTTCTATCCGCACGCATATTTTAAATAGATAGTATACTTTTTAGATAGTAGCATACTTTTTTTGGATTTAATTGGTTTTAATTACATTCAATTGAATGCAATTGGATTGAAGAACTATATTTCCTATTCAAAATTTTGAATTGAACAGCATTCACAATGCACGGAAAAAGCTAATATTATTTTTAGATTGAAAGGCATAGAAATATGCTCCATGCAATTCCTATAAATGAATAAAAATGCATTCAAAATTGAAAAGCATTCATTTTAACATTCGTAAGCCAATATTTCTGAAAATCTAAATCCATTTCAAATCATTTCAATTCATTCTCGTTTGCTGGGACGTTTTTAAATCGGCCTCATTTTGCAAAACTTATGGAAATTATGCAATACTACTTTCACCGTGAGGCAAAAATTGAATTGAGTTCAACTTTTGTCGCGTGGTGAAAATTATATAATATATCTATTACTTCCAAGCAAGCGAAACACTGCAACTTCCGCGCGCGCGGGAAGTTTTACTATGTTTTCTGGGCGGGAGCCATTAAAGTATATCCACACAAACTTGTTGCATCAGTGGCCTAAGATTTGTTCACGTCGCATGTTTCAACATGCTCCAATATGCTCCTGCCATAGTTCCTACTCACTCTAATGAGTGCATTGGAGCGAGTAGGAGGTAAGATAGAAGCATATTGGAGCATGTTCGAGCATGCGACGCGAACAAACTTCTACCGAGAGTTTAATTCGGATCAGAATGTAAGAATCAATCATCTACAGTCGAGCATTCCCCTGTCGTTCGACTGTAACAGAAAAATACTCGATTGTAGTTGATTGATTCTTACATTCTGATTTGAATTACTCAATAGATGCATCCAGAAGCACGACCGCTCACTGAAAGCTCAATAAACTCTTTTATCTGTTTGATCTATATTTTTAAATCTAAGAATATGCCAATCAGATGTAAAAGCCCTCTGAGCGCTCAGTGAGAGATCGTGCTTCTGGATATTCCTAATAATTAGCCAATACGACATCTTCCGCGCGGCAAGCTTTATGGCTCCTACACACTAAACGCAAAAACGCTTGCCGCGCGGCGAAATGAGACGAGATAATCAATGAACACATTGGTGATTGATTTTGCGGCGCGGCAAGCATTTCCGCATCCAGTGTGCAGGAACCATTAGAGTCCTAGAAACCAGAGATGCGACATTGAAGGGATACGGTCTGATTGGCTGGTCTAAAGCCCGATTGCACCAACCTTACTTTGATTTTAAGTGAGGCTTAAAACTCTCTCTGTTTTTGTCTTTTTTTCGTTTTAAAATAGGACAGAGAGAGTTTTAAGTTTCACTTTTACTGCGTAATTAGAGTCCTAGGACTCTACATACAGAGTCTAATAATTGGTGCATCCAGAAGCACGACCGCTCACTGAGCACTCAGTAAATTCTTGCGTCTGATTGGCATATTCCGTTAGGTCTAAAAATGTAGACCAAACAGGTAAAAGAGCTCATTGAGCTCTCAATGAGCGGTCGTGCTTCTGAATGCATCCAATGTATGTGCTATTAAGTACATACTATAAGTACGTATTATACTTTCTTTTTCTAATTTAACTTTTCTTATATAATACATCAGCTGTCATCAGCTTTTAAAGGCGCCTTTTCATGTCGACACTCGACGCTCATTTTCGGCGTCAAAATCAGTCAGACAGAAATTGATGAATATCAATTTTGATCTTATGATTTATTTTAACGCTGTAAATGGGCATTAGCATGAAAAGGAATTGAATTAAAATGGCGATGACGACTTAATCCAACCGACTCATGTCGCATCTCTGGTTTCTAGAACTCTAGTCGTCATCTATTGGCATGACTGGCATTCGTCATTTCAAGTTGACCAATGAGAACCAATGGGAGTCATCGTACGCTACTATTCCAACGTTCAGCGCCCTGACCATCAATTTGAAGTGATTTTCAGTTGTGTTACCGTTAAACGGTTACGTGTGTTCGACGTGTTTACGTTGGATCGTTTTTACGAAGTCGTACGAGATGCCGGATTTTAAAGAACAGTATAAAAATCCACGTCCTGGATTCGGCGACACGAATCACAGAAGATATCTGCGTGCTTGCAATTACGATAAATCTCGTAGAGAGGCCAGAACACGGACTTTCGACAAACATCGCAACCTGCAAAACGATTCAACACCAACGAATGTGCAGCACGGTAAATTGAAAAAGAATTCTCATTTAACGTGACTTACACGTGATAATTAAACATCGCCAAAGCTTTCCTTTCTACCAATGTAGTTTAATTCCAATCTTAGTTAAACTTATTCTTCATCTTTTTCTAATTCTTTTGCCTATTTTTATCAATATAAGTTAATTTCAATCTTAGTTTAATTTATTCCTATCCTTTTTTAATCTATAATAGCAAAGAAACAAGCATCAATTAGATTAAAAATAAAAAAAGACTGAGAACCAAACTAGATGTTTGATCTTAAAATTTAATCAATATATCAGATATTTTTACTTCTATTAAGGCCCAATTGCACCAACATACTTTAACTTTAAGGGAGGCTTAAAACTCAGTTTCTCTCTTTAAAGTCGAAAGAGAGGAAGAGATAGAGAGAGTTTTAAGCCTCGCTTAAAATCAAAGTAACATTGGTGCAACCAGGCTTAAATCATTATCAATGTTGACAAAACAATTATTTTGTGCAGTATAAATTATACATATCTGACAAAGTGTTATTAAATTAACATTGTGTTCATAACACTTATCAGTTATTTATAATTTGTACGGCAGAGTAATTCTTTTGTTAATATTGATAATGACCTAATAGAGATTAAAAAAATGTATTATTTGGTCATTGTTCAAAATTTTAGCAATTAACATTCTCCAGTTTGTCTCATGGCTTTTATTTGTTATTTTGATTCTTATTTACCCTTTTAATTTTTTATCTAGATTCTATATCTATGCTCAGTAAATTATATGTTTTAAGTCTCTCCTTAAATTATGATAAAATACATATTTATTTATTTTGTGCAAACTGATCACACATAATGAAATGTTATACATTGATCAAATTTCTTTACATACAATTGATATATGTTTTCTAGAACATTTTATTGCCTTTATTTTAAAGGATTAATTAAATTTTAATTAAAATTGAATTCTATGATATTAATGAATTTGTAGAATAATCTGTTATATATTTATGATGTTCATTTATCATTATATGAATGGAAAATTTAACAATATAAAGATCAATAATTTGATGAATTAATAAAATGTGTTGCAACATTAAACAATGATTATGTTTACACAGCATCCTTATTTAATAATATCCATAGTTATGAAACTGATTGATCAGTTATAGCTATTCTTCTGAAGAATGAAATGACTGATTTATGTCAATTACTGTTGTTATTGAATCTTATGAAGGATGCTATGTAACATCAATGTGTTCTAGTTTTATAGAAACCAAATATTATTGTAGTTGTGTGTGTTCATGGCAATAAAATATGTCATTGTTATATATTTTCTTGTGTATGTATGTATATATACTATAAAAGAAACATAAATAAAAAGATATGATTATTACATATAATTTATGTGTAAGTTTATATTTACATTTTATGTATATATGTTTGAATTGATAATTTCTCAATTATTATACATTTATACTATGAAATTAACCAATTATAAAAAGGAAAAATTTCTATTATTCTTAACAGAGGTCACATCTGCCATTGCTGATGAACGTATGAAAAAATTAATAAAATGGAGAGAGGAACGTAACAGAAAAAAGAAGTTGGAAGCTGCAATAAAAAAACCAGCTTTTAAAGTTGGTGTTGTTCACCATTCCTTATGTTCTCCAATAATCAAAAGTGGCGTAAAAATGGCAAAAACACCAAACAAAACAGAAAATTCAAACTATATCAAAAAACGAATTACAAGAGCTACGGAAAAACGATTGCTTGCCAAAGCAGCTGCTCAACAAACGGTAAAGAATTCAACTTCGGTGATAAAACATCCCTTTAAAACCATGACTTCTTGTACTAAGAAAT